AATCTATTACTATATAATACTCTACTACCTAGTCTTATAAGCAATAGCTGCCTGCTTTGCTTATACTCTTCTTATCTATATAAGAATTATTTCTAGAAATAGAGTAACTTAGCAGCATATATTCTAGCTAGTATACCTTAATTATATCTATAATATAGAGGTATATAACGCTACTGCTTACCTTTATAGTATAATATAACTAACGTTATATTACGCAAGAAGATAGTTAGTAGTAAGAGAGCTAATAACTAACTTATAGAACTAATTCTATAATATTAATAATTATTAGAACAGTACTAAAGAGTTATAGCTAGAAGTAAGTAATAGTAAGAATAACTAATAGAATTATCGTAAAGGATAGACGAATCGCTACTAATAAGAAGCGATTCTCTCTCTACTCTATATACTAGCTCTCTAGTAGATATACTAGGCCTACTTAGAACGCTAAAGATGTTCTTAGTGCTAGAGTACTAATATTATCTCTCTTCTTAGGCATACTAACTTTAAGCGAATACGTCTAATATAGAAAAGCGTTTAGTAAGCTAGAATAAGCTATAATAGCTTATTTAAGCTCTAACGCGCGCATTAGAGCTCTATAGATTATTTCTAAAACTTATAGTTTTAAGAGACTTACTTAACTAAGCTTAGCGCGCTAAGCAATAATAAGTAAGCAGCGCATAGACTTATAATACTAGTTAAGCTTAGCCTAACTTCTAACTTAGTTCTATATTCTCTTAGTCTCTTTTTAGTAAGAATTTTTAGTTCTCTCTATAGAGATTTTAGCCTCTACTTTAGGCTAGAATACTCTATTATACTCTATTATAGCGCTAATAAATATAGAGTGTCCTATAATAACTACTATGCCTCTTAATCTAGCTTTATTAAGCTCTTCTGCTTCTATTCTATGCTAATCTAGGCTAGAATACCTCTAAATTAGTTAATATAGACTAGATTACTATTAGTAATAATATAATAGAGAATAGTATATGCACTTATTATCTATACTACTACTATATTATATCTTTTACTATAGGCTCCTTTAAGTGCCTTAGTAAGTTTAGTTACGTTATAATAGACTTCTCTAATGCTATAGAGAATGCTAAGAACTATCTTAATCTCTACTTATTCTAGCAGAAGAAGATTAGAGGTAGAGAGACTGCTTAGTACTTTAAGTGCTTCTATTACTTCTTTAGTAACTCTAACTATATAGTAGTAAGTTATTATAAGCTAGAATACTCTATTATAGCATAAACTAATATATTTAGCCTTCTAAGAAGGCTGCGGTTAGAAGGTTTCTAGATATTACTTACTAAATATTTAATTAAGCTAGGCGCTTAGGTTTAGATTAAATATTTGCTTACTAAAACTATTTATTACTACCTCTTACTATCTCTGTCCCTCGGAGTCTACCCTGCATTTTCCAGTGGGAATGCAGAGCTTAGCCAATTAGAAATAGGCCTTGGCAAAGGCGCTATGTTGTGGGAATGCAACGTGGAAATGAATAACCTTCTAGAGGGAAATAATATATTTCTAAGAAGCTATTTTGTGCAGTTTTACAAGGGGAATCCAGATCTCCAAACGGTTTATTCATAGCTCTAATACTCGTTGAGATGCAAGGCTTTGAAGTTATGGGTGAAGGAACATCAAAACTCTGACATTCATCGCAGTTTCTCTCAACGTTCTGGTAGTTTGCAGATATATTCTAGTAGGCTATATTACGCAGAATTGCGAGGCGATTCCAGATCTGCAACTATCTTTTTTATAGCTCTTCTCGTTGTAAAGTTACAGAGGGTTGAAGTTTGTGAGAGAATGTTGGTGTTCTTTGTGGCTGAAATCCTTGGCAGTGGCAGTGCAGCAGCAAAGTTAGGGTAAGCCGGGCAGAATCCGGGGAAAATCCGGAGATAAGCCGGAGATAGTGGAGATGGCCGAGAAACCCGAGAACCGCTGTGTGAATTAGGAGTGCGAGGGTTAGGGTTAGGGTTAGGGTTTAGGGTTAGGGTTTAGGGTTAGGGTTAGGGTTAGGGTTAGGGTTAGGGTTAGGGTTAGGGTTAGGGTTAGGGTTAGGGTTAGGGTTAGGGTTAGGGTTAGGGTTAGGGTTAGGGTTAGGGTTCCGCGTCATGGT